TCTTTAAAAAAAAAGAAAAAGAATTGATAAAAATAAAAGAAAGTACTAGCATGGAATGATATATTAATCAGTATTGAAACTACTTTGATAAGGACTGAGACTTTTAGCAAGTCTGAGCAAGGAAAAATAAAGATGATACAGATAACCTTTAGAATAAGGAAAGTGGTATAGCTGCAGATATGGGTTTTATTTTTACTCATAAAAAAGGACTTCCAGTCAAGTTGGTAGGCTAGGTATATGTATAAACCTGCATTCTGGATGCGTAGAAATCTGTTAGAAGGTGGGGGAGGGACAGTAAAATAACCCTAAACTGAGAAGGCACTTTGAGATGAGAAAACAAAGCCGGCCACTCCATACAGTTGACACAGTTCTATTCAGGGTAACTTACTGACCAGCAGAGAAGGGTGGATTCAGGTGGTTGACAGTCCATGGCAGCCACGTGGCTATTCTCCATAAAGTCTGGGCCTTAGTTCACAGATTATATAGAGTGAGGGAACTTACAGAAGGACATTGTAGTGAGATTCAAGGGTTCACATGCACCTAATTAATTACTAAACTTTAATTGGATCTTGTGGCGCCATCTGTACATCAGGGAAGGGAAAGACTATATTACCTCTTAACAGATTTGTGGGAGGCCAAAGCAAGCCTCCCCACATCCCGGTGTTGGTGGGCATTTCTAAGATACGTCTTTTAATCTCCAAGGGGCATGGAACGTGCGGTGCCCAGAAGTCATCATGCAAACATATGAACAAGATGAAGGGCCAAAGATGGAGTCAGTATTGTCAGCACTCCTATAAAATGAAAGATTAAAAAAATACATATTTATATATATATATGCATTCATAACATCTCAAAAACAAGAAGAAAAGCTATTTAGGTGAGAAAGGGAGTTAAGAAAGTAGCAGTTGGATTTGAATCCATTAGAGCCATGAGAACCCAGAAAGGTAGAAGAGATGGGTTTCAGAAGCCCTCAAGAAAAAACCTTTAGGCCCTAAACTGGACCTGAATTAGGGGTGCTTTCTTATAGTATTGTGAAGAAAGCAAAGTAGCTTACATAGATGTCATTATTCTGTTGTTTCATTATTCTGTTGCTGTATAGCAAACCACCCTGAAACTTTAGTGGCTTAAAAAACATAACCTAGTTTAAAAATATTACTCCCTGACTTTTATGCTTATTTCAGATTTAAGGTTTAATAAAATTATATTGTTTCAAAAGAAAACAGTTCATTATTTCTCTTGATTTCCAGGTTAACTGGAAGGTTCTTCTGCTTCATATTGGCTGGGGCACTGGAAAAGGCTGGAAGATCCAAAATAGTCTCATTCATGTGACTGGCAGTTGATGATTGTTGCTAGTTAGGAGTGCAGCTGGGGCTCTTGGGCAAAGGCCTTATTAATTCTCCTTCATTTGCATTTTCCCATGGGCTATTTGACCTTCCTCACATTATAGCTCCTGAGTTCTTTTTTTTTTTTTTAAGATTTTATTTATTTATTTGAGAGAGAGAGAGCACAATCAGGGGGAGTGGCAGAGGGAGAGAGAGAGAAGCAGGCTTCCCACTGAACAGGGAGCTGGACGTGGGGCTCAATCCCAGGACTCTGGGATCATGACCTGAGCCAAAGGCAGATGCTTAACCAACAGAACCATCCAGGCGCCCCTGTAGCTCCTAAGTTCTAAGAAAGTACCTTCTAAAACAAAGGCAAATATTACAAGGCATCACGTGACATTCAGAAACCACACAGCATCATTTGTGCCACATTCTTTTTAAACAAAGCTCATCTAGGACCTGCCTAGATCCAAGGGAAGGAGAAATAGATGACATCTCTTGAGTGTAGGATGGTTTAGTCATGTTGCAAAAAAACATTTAGGATGGAAGATGGGAGGCATCTAAAATACAGTTTATCACAATCCCTGTTTGACTTGATCAAGTATTTTGCACAGCCTCATATCATCAGAAATGTTAAAGCAATGGCATGAACGTGAATTAATCTGATCCCAGGGATTATTCACCTTTCACCAGTGGCCCTCACTGTGGAAATTACCACTTCCAGAAGGGAGTAGGGAATAAATTGGAAAGAATAAGATAAAGTGCCTGGTCTATAAGATGTGAGCAAGAACATGAATAGGGAATCAGATTTGGACATGAAATATATAAGTGAAATTTATGATGGAGGAATCACCTAAAGTAACAGATGCAGAGGTGGGAACTTGCAAGATATGTGAAGGAAAGAGCAAGTCATTCAAATTTAATGGTATGTAACACTCACGAAGAAGTGAATTAAGTATATTAGGAATGAAGCTAAGTGATGGATTGGGGGCAGTTCATACAGAGCCTTGTATGAGAATCTCTCAAAGTTTTGGAGCAAGTACATTGTTAGACATGGGCTCCAGAAAGATCCATCAGTGTAAAATGCATTAAGAGTTATTTGGGCAGCGGAGAATACTAGTCCAAGAGTTGTGTAGATTACATTGGCAGTAGTCCAGAGGAGATTGACAAAGGCTTGAATCAAGGTAATAGAGATGAGAATGAAGAGGAGATGGTTTTCAGAAAAACTGAAGTATTCAAATCAATAAGAATTGGCACCTGATTAGATGTGTGGATCAAGGCAGTGAAAAGAGTTGAAGTTCCATAATATTAAAAGCTGTATGGGGACGCCTGGGTGGGTTCAGTCGGTTAAGCATCTGCCTTCCACTCAGGTCGTGATCCCAGGGTTCTATGATGGAGCCCCACATCGTCAGGCTTCTTGCTCGGGGTGGGGGGGTCTGCTTCTCCCTCTCCTTCTGACCCTCCCCACTGCTCATTCGCATGTGCTCACTTGCTCTCAAATGAATAAATAAAATTTTTTAAATAAAAGCTGTATTTGAAAGTCATAATATCATGAATGTCAACTCATTAATCACATTTGTACTCTTCTATTCCTTGAAAATTTTACCTAAAATTATTAAAATGAAGCCAAATTATTTGATTACTATCGCATTTAACAGGTTTGCATTAATAAATCATACAAAAATTATGTCTTGACATTTCAGATTTTATATTCTAAATTTCTATGCTACTTCTTTTTTCCCCCATTAGGTTAATGGCACTGATGCAGATTATGAATATGAAGAAATCACACTTGAAAGGGTAAAAGCTTAATTATCTTAAGTTTTTATGCATAAATCTGTTGCTTACAGAATTCTTTAAATATACTGCTCTTTCATATAGAAATCAAGGGAAACGATCTTTCAAAAACAGAACCATGTAATATTAGTTCTTTAAGTATACATATTATAAAACTAGCCATGGTATTTTTAGGACATGTTACTTTTCTTTAATACCTTTTTTTTTTAAATAAATTTTTATTTAAAATAGTTTTAGATTTACAGAAAAGTTATAACAAAAGTTTCCATTTATCCTGGTCTCAGTTTTGCCTATTGTTAACATCTTATTTGTTTCAACTAATGAACCAATATTGACATATTATTAACTAAAGTCTATACTTTATTTGGATTTCCTTAGTTTTTATGTTTTTCTCTTTCAGAATCCTTTCCTTTCCAGAATACCACATTACACTTGGTTATCACGTCTCCTTACGTTTCTCTAGTCTGTTTCTCAGATTTTTCTATTTTTATTTTTATTTTTTATATAAAACATTGATTTAAAGTATTCAGTTATGCTAGTAATATGCTTATTGTTAACAGTTTTTTTTTTTTTTTAGCAAAATGATAACCATAGTTCTAGTGGACAAGATCCTATTGAAAATTTATGCACTCCCCCAGTCAGAAAATAATTTAAGGGTACGATTTAGATGTGTAAATTTTCATATAATATTTACCTCTTAAGAATATCTGCATTCAGGAGGCGCCTGGGTGGCTCAGTCGCTGGGCGTCTGCCTTCGACTCAGGTCATGATCCCAGGGTCCTGGGATCGAGCCCTGCATCAGGCTCCCTG